TATGTTATCATGGAACAGCACAGTGTTTTGAAACCAGTAAAAGCATAGTAATTGTAATATTGTGATTGTCTGACAGTTACCAAGTAAATGTGTAATCATTACACAGTTGACCCTAGCGTACGCTCATAAATTGCTGCCACGACACATGCTACGTTCCCTAACTGGCTGTCTCAGGGGACACCAAAAATGTTTTGACAGGATCAGCTGACAACAGCTGTCGACTGGGACCGGTGGGTGAAAAGAAAATGCATGTGATAGATGTATAGACGTTTCTGAATCCCTCGGGAGTTCCAACAGCAGTACAACACCGAAACATCAATCAAAATGCACAAAAAGGTAAAATACAAACATAAGTAGCAGCACACGGTCAGTGAATATGGGACATCTGACCAGTGGATGTTAGTAGATTAGTCTGTTAGTAGAAGTAGATAGATTAGTGTTAGTAGTAGATTAGTAGGTAATTATTGTTGCCATGTGTGGTGTTGTTGATTGCAATCTAAATTATTATATATTGTTATTTTTAACTATTGTACCTATTGTTATTCTAAATTAAATTGGTATGATGTTTATGTATAGTATAGTATACCACATTATACCTATGATATGTATGTATAAACAGAACTAGTATAAATAAGGATTAAGGATGTTATGTGAACAAGTATATAAAATAAATATGTAATATGCTGTATATGAAATGTATGCACAGTGTAAATAGTTGAGAATTAAATAAACAGTTAGCTGTATAGGCAGTTCCAGTGGACGTATTAGTGTATGAGTGTTTAAATGTATTCTGGATAATTTCCTGTCAAGTGTTTTATATTTTGGTGTTTAATTTTTGATCCATGTACCTTCTTTAATGTCTGCCATCAGAACACGCAAGTTCGATTTCAGTGGCAACATCATCATGTTTTCCACAGATGAGCAGATGGGCTGTCAGTGTTTCATGAACTTCTTTCACCTGAGGGATCCACAGATCGGTAGGTATATAGTTTGCACACAGTATTATAGAAATGAAATACTGAAAGAAATGATGAGTCACAGACAGCCTCTTTTGTAGAGCTTGTGATAATTTTTGTGTTATTTATTTGTCAATATTCTGGAGAAGTACTGAAGAAAGCTGAGGAGCACAGCAGGCACATCAACAACATCCAGACGTCTGTAGACCTCACCATGTTCATCAGTGCCTCAGAGGACAACACCGCCAGGGTGAGCACTCTTATGTAAATAGTTGGTGTGATAACAGTTGTTGAAAAATGTTAGAAATAAAGTAATCAGAATGACACCTGGCTGGCCATCAAGAAGAACGCCCAGAGACGAGTTTTGTTTTTAGCCTTAAAAATGAAACCTGAGTTTTTAGTTTTTGAAGGCGAATAAAGAAAAGAGTTGTCTATGAAGATTCTCAGTCATCCAGGTCACGGTCAAGGTCAAATAGTTCCGTTAGGCAACTGGATGTGACATTTTCCCAAGAGGCTTCTTCAGTTCTAACTGGTGGAGGGGAGTACAGCAAATATATACTGTGGGTGTGACAAAAAACGTCAGGTCCCTCCTGTCGGATGGACCGTCTGGGTCATCGGGGGAAGTGTTAACAGTCGTTAGGAGTCTGATGGGTCGTTGTAATCCTCATCAGAATGGTTTTGGTATGTGGGTGATTGGTTGTGTCTTAGCCCACCTCCTCTGTTGAGTGAAAACTTCACGTCCAGTTGCCAAACGGAAGTCTTCAACAAAGAAAATAGTTGTTTTCTTTTTAACGCTTGGATTTGTTGTTGTTTATATATTTATGGATTGTGAGGTGACCCTCCAGTCATTTGTGCCCGAGACCCCCTCTCCAGAACAACAGAAATGTATTTAAAGGTATTTATTGATAGTTTGTTATATAAGTATGTCAACTGAAGTAAACATTGACAATTTGTGAGGGTTATAAGAAGAGACTCCAAAAAACCCACACAGTAGTAGGTGTGGTTACTGTGAGTGTCCACTTGTCCCATTTATTTACAATGACATTTTCCTTCAGTCGAGGTGTGCTGGTCATTCTGTCAATACTACAGACCTTGTAATGTGATTTTAGAATATTTGAAGTACAGCTTAGGAGAAACGAGTGGTACAGTTTGAAATGAAGTGACGAAGTGAAGTGACTTGACTGTCTGTGACTTTAAGGCCTTGAAGAGAGATGACTGCTTGAATAAAAGTTTGCTTAGTTCAAAGCTGACTGTGCGATGCTGTTAAAGGTTCAATGTCAGCCACCCAGATAGAGTGGAGTAAAAATGAAATTATTATTTAATGTTTGTTTTGGAACCTAAGACGTGGACTGCCAGCTGACGATCACTGTACGTAGTGTGCAGACAATGTTGTGCAAATGACTGAGTGCCATGTGTTGTCTCTGCAGCTCTTTGACTCTGCCTCTCTGGATCACATCAAGACTTTGAAAACAGAGAGACCGCTGAACTCTGCTGCCATTTCTCTAGTAACGTAAGATGAATTTGTCGCTGTGCAGTATGTATCCCAGTAGATCAACAGTGACATCGAACCTTGCAACTGTGTTTGTTGTAGGTGCTTATGGGAGGAGGCCATGGGAGTGACCACAGCTTTCACCAGGATTGGCAAGTTTGAGGCCAGGTGAGATGAAGTGGTGTTTCCAGAGTATTATTGTGTGGATGAATAAAGTATCCAGTGACTGTTGTCTTCATCAAAACAAAAGAACCAGATGAAGAAAATGTACAGATGTCCCTTATTTCATTGTGGTGTTAGCATTAGCACTGAAGAAACCACTACGTTGTATTACTGTTGATAGTGATGTGTAAACATGTAGTTGTTGGCAGTGCTGTGGAAGTGACTACTTTGTAGCTGCTTTTAAGGAAAACCTTTGTTTGTGTTAACATGTGGCAGAGTGACGTGTTCTTCTAATCTGCAGGTTCTTCCAAGCTGTGTACCAGGAGGAGTTTGGCAGGAGTCAAAGGTCATTTTGGTCCCATCAACTGTGTGGCTTTCTACCCTGATGGCAAGAGGTAAATGAGTTCTGCTGAACTGAAGAAGCCTCTTGGATGAGAGGTTAAAGGTCTTAAAAAAAAAAAAACCACCCCACAGACAGCTTTTGATTGTGCCTTTTATACTATTGTCTTAACAGATGCGATGGAGGAGAAGACTTGTGGACACAGCAGCTTGGACTCTGCCAGGGAGAGTGAAGGAGCAACTTTTTGAAGCAGATCACTTGTTCGCTGGACTTGTGAGTATTTTACTGAAACTTTTTGGCACCAGAGTTACTTTTTTTGGCCTTTGCACTTTCATTGACAGATACTTAAGACTGTCACTTTTTCAGAGAAAAAAACCCTTTATCTTAGTTAGTCTTTTTTTGGTCATTGTGATCTGTATTTGATTTTTGTAAACCTTCTAGAATAAAGTAAGTTGTTGGAATATTGTGTGCTCTGCATTTATTTCCAGAAATTGAGCAAACAACAAAAACAAAATATGAATTGGATTTCTCATTGGCTTTTAGGGCATGCATTGTCAAAGTCAAGGGTAAGAGTAAAGAAAGAAAAAGCTTAGTTTTTTTTTGTTTTTAATTTGTTTTTTTAAAAAACAACCAGAATACCTTCACAATGAACAGAACAGCAACAACTTTTTACTCTTTTATTAGCAAAACACTTCACATTGCCAAAACATGCATTTAAGTCCATGATACACCGTTCAAAACAATACTAGTCAAATTACAATGGTAAAGTTGGACAGATTACATACAACATCAAAGTCAAGGGTAAGAGTAAAGAAAGAAAAAGCTTAGTTTTTTTTTGTTTTTAATTTGTTTTTTTAAAAAACAACCAGAATACCTTCACAATGAACAGAACAGCAACAACTTTTTACTCTTTTATTAGCAAAACACTTCACATTTCCAAAACATGCATTTAAGTCCATGATACACCGTTCAAAACAATACTAGTCAAATTACAATGGTAAAGTTGGACAGATTACATACAACATCTTCTTCTGTCAACCACATGTGCTCACAGTATTCAACAAAGGTCCCATCATCAGGAGTGGAACAACTTGGTTAAACCTCTTCTCTTGGCCTGAAACAAGATGAAATAAAGACAACATTCCATATCAATGCTCTCAGATGACTACACCATGTTCAAAGTGTTTAGCACTAGCATGTTACAAAATGCTTCAATTAGCCACTACTTAGTACTCAAGAATTTCACATTCAACAACAATTCAAATAACAAAATCAAAAACAACTCATCTAGCACTAGTGAATGGCTTAAATCCATTCCATACCTTTAACGGTGAGGTTCAATCGGCTCCACACTGAAGGACCACTGCGCTCAGCTGGTACATCTCCACTACTTTGGACATGATCTAAACCCAAGATGCACATATTAAAAACGTGTCCACAGTGAACTTGGGAGAAAAATAAAACTAAGTTGCACTAACAGTAAAACAGACTTACCAGTTTAATGGCTTCGTGGGTAATTCACTGCGTAGTATTTGCTCTTTCCAGCCTCAATGTCCTGTAAACATTTAACAACACTCTGTAAACGCTGTCCAAAAGTTTCATTTCAAAAACTTGACTTGTAAAAGTAACCAATTACTTCGGACTTCTTATCCGAAGTCCAACTGCCCAAGTGATGGCGATACTGGTCTGCTGCTACACCTGAAAAGATTTACTTAATCAATTCCGCACACACATGCACTTAAATAACTTTTTTTTGCATTTCATTTCAGGATAGTAAGGCTATAGTAAGACATGTT